CATTAATAAAACTTAAACCACACATAGATCCCCACACATTAATAGTGGGAGACATAAACATCCCTCTCTCAACAAAGGACAGGCCAATAAAACAGAAATTAAACAAAGTAATAAAGACTGTAACACAGGTCATGAATCAAATGGACCTACCAGACATCTACAGAACCATTCACCCAAACACAAAAGAATTCACCTTCTTCTCAGGACCTCATGGGACCTTCTCCAAAATAGATCACATAGTTGGTGACAAAGCAATCCTCAACAGATACAAGAAGATTGAAATAATCCCTTGTATCCTATCTGACCACCATGGACTAAAGCTGGACCTCAAAAAGAACAGAAATAGCAAAAGCCTAGACACACATGGAAACTGGACAACTTGCTACTGAGTGACACCGGGGTCAGGGAAGAAATACAGAAAAAGTTTAAGTCTTCCTAGATTTCAATGAAAATGAAGGCACCATGTACCCAAACTTATGGGACACAATGAAACCAGTGCTAAGAGGAAAGTTTATACCACTAAGTGCCTTTAAGAAGAAATTTGAAACATCTCATTCAAGCAATTTAATAGCATACCTGAAAGCACTAGGGGAAAAAAAAAAAGGCAGACACACCCAAGAGGAGTAGACAGCTGAAAATAATCAAATTCATGGCTTAAGTCAATAAATTAGAAGAAAATCAAACAATTCAAAAAATCAATGAAACCAAGAGCTGGTTCTTTGAGAAAATCAACAAAACAGACAAACCCTTAGTCAAAATAACTAAAAGGCAGAGAGACACTATCCAAATCAACAATATCAGAAATGAAAAAAGGGACATAAGGAGAGACACTAGGAAATCCAAACAATTATTAGGTCTTACTTCAAAAGCCTATAAGCCACAAAAATTTGAGAATCTAAAGGAAATGGACAATTTTCTTGATTGATTCCACTTACCAAAGCTGAATCAAGACAAGGAAAATGAATTAAATAATCCTATATCCTGTAAGGAAATAGAAGTAGTCATCAAAAGTCTCCCTTCCAAAAAAAAAATTCTACCATACCTTCAAAGAAGAGGTAAAACAAATACTCCTCAAACCATTCCACAAAATAGAAACAGAAGGAAGACTTCCAAACTCATTCTGTGAAGCCACAGTCACCTTTGTACCTAAACTTCACAGAGACCCAACAAAGAAAGATAATTTCAGGCCAATCTTCCTTATGAACATTGATGCAAAAATACTCAACAAAATACTTGCAAACTGAATCCAAGAACACATCAAAGATATCATCCACTATGATCAAGTAGGCTTCATCCCAGGTATAGAGGGGTGATTCAATATATGGAAATCCATCAATATAATCCATCATATAAACAAACAGAAAGAAAAAAATCACATGATAATCTCCTTAGATGCTGAAAAAGCATTTGACAAAATCCAATACCCATTCATGTTTAAAGTACTAGAGAGACCAAGGACATAAGGCACTTTCCTAAACATAGTAAACACAATATACAGCAAGCCTATAGCCAACATCAAACTAAATTGAGAGAAATTTAAATCAATCCCACTAAAACCAGGGACAAAGCAAGGCTGCCTACTCTCTCCATATTTCTTCAACATAGTTCTTGAAGTCCTTGCTAGGGTAATAAGACAATAAAAAGATATAAAGAGGACACATATTTGAAAGGAAAAAGTCAACATATCACTATTTGCAGTATATGGGTGTGATCTCAAAAGTTCTACCAAGGAACTCCTACAGCAGGAAAACACTTTCAGCAAAATTTTGGCTGGATACAAAATTAACTAAAAAAAAAAAGCAGTAGCCTTTTGTATACAAAAGACAAAAAGGCCAAGAAAGAACCTAGGGAAACAACACCCTTCACAATAGCCATAAAGGACATAAAGTACCTTGGTGTGAACCTAACCAAGCAAGTCAAAGACTTGTATGTAAAAAACTTTCAGTCTCTGATGAAAGGAAGAGAAGAAGATATTAAAAGGTGGAAATATCTCCCATGCTCATCACTTGGCAGAATTAACATAGCAAAAATGGCCATCTTATTAGAAGCAATCTACAGATTCAAGGCAATTCCCATCAAATGACCAACGCAATTCTTTACAGACCATGGAAGAAAAAATTTCAACTTCACATGGAATAACAAGAAACCCAGAATCACTAAAACAATCCTTTACAAGAAAAGATCTTTTGGAGGTATCTCCATCCCTGATCTCAAGCTGTACTATAGAGCAACAATACTAAAAACTTCATGATACTGTCACAGAAACTGACTGATGAAGACCCTAAAATAAATCCACACACTTGTGGGCACCTGATTTTTGACAAAGATGCTAAAACTTTACAATGGAAAAAAGATAGCATCTTCAACAAATGGTTTGGGCTAACTGGATATCTACCTGTAGAAAAATGCAAATAAATCCATATTTATCACCCTGCACAAAACTAAAGTCTAAGTGTATGTATCAAAGATCTCAATATATAACCAGACACACTAAAACTGTCAGAAGAAAAAGTGAGGAAGGGCTTGAACTCATTGCCACATCAGACAACTTCCTGAAGAGAACACCAGCAGCAGAGGCTCTAAGAGCAAAAATCCATAAATGGGACCTTATGAAACTGAAAAGCTTCTGTAGAGCAAAGGACACTGTCATCAGCACAAAACAACAGCCTACAGATTGGGAAAGGATCTTCACCAACCCTATATCAGAGAGAGGGCTAATATCCAGAATATATAAAGAACTTAAGAAGTTAAATAGCAACAAATGAGTAATCCAATTAAAAAAATGGGGTATAGAGCTGAACAGAGAATTCTCAATAGAGGAATATCAAATGGCAGAGAAACACTTAAGGAAATGTCCAAAGTCCTTAGTTATCTGGGAAATGAAAATCAAAATGGCCCTGTGATTTCACCTCACACCCATTAGAATGGCTAAGATCAAAAGCTCAAGTGACAACACATACTGGAGAGGTTGTGTAAAAAGGGGAACCCTCCTCCACTGCTGGTGGGAATGTAAACTTTTACAACCCCTTTGGAAATCAATCTGGTGCTTTCTCAGACAATTAGGAATAGTACCAAGATCCAGCTATACCACTACTAGGCATATATCCAAAAGATGCTCAAGTACACAACAAGGACAGCTGCTCAACCATGTTTGTAGCAGCTTTATTTGTAATAGCCAGAAGCTGGAAACAACCCAGATACTCCTCAGTTGAAGAATGGATACAGAAATTGTGGTACATTTACACAATGGAATACTACTCAGCAATTAAAAACAAGGAAATCATGAACTTTGCAGAAAAATGGTAGAAGCTAGAAAAGATCATCCTGAGTGAGCTATCCCAGAAGCAGAAAGACACACATGGTATATACTCACTTATAATTAGGTATTTGACATTTAATATAGGACAAACACACTAAAATCTGTACACCTAAAGGAGCTAATCAAGGAGGACTCTGGTTAAGATGATCAGTCCTTACTCAGAAAGTCAAAGAGTATAGACATCAGAAGAGGGGGAAAACAGGAAACAGGACAGGAACCTACCACAGAGGGCCTCTTAAAGACTCTATCCAGCAGGGTATCAAAGCAGATGGTGAGAATCATAGCCAAACTTTGGGCAGAGTGCAGTGAATCTTATGAAAGGAGGGGGAGATAGAAATATCTGGAGGGGATAGGAGCTAAACAAGTTGAGCAACAGAACCAAAAAAATCTGGACACAGGGTTTCTTTTCTGGGACTGATACTCTAAACATGGAACATTCATGGATATAATCTAGAACCCCTGCTCAGATGTAGTCCATGGGAGCTCAGTATCCAAGTGGGTTTCCTAGTAGTGGGAACAGGGACTGTCTAGGATATGAATTTGGTGGCCTGCTCTTTGTTCACCCCCCCTTAAGGGGGTGAAACCTTTCCAGGCCACAGAGGAAGACTGCATCCAGTCCTGATGAAACCTGATAGAATAGGATCAGATGGAAGGGGAGGAAGACCTCCCCTATCAGTGGTCCTCGGGAGAGTTATAGGTGGAGAAGAGGGAGGGAGGATGGGATTGGGAGAGGACGAGGGGTGTGGCTACAGGTGGGGTACAAAATGAATGAATTATAATTAATAATAAATAAATAAAACATAAAAAAATAAACCTTTTCCTCCAGAAGATGCTTTTAGTCATAGTGTTTTTTTACAGCAATAGAAACCTTAAGTAACACACCAGATGTACTGATATTTGCAGAATTATTCTTTTTCCCACAAGAACTCAGGACAAATGCATAGAATTGAAAAATATTATACTGAGGTAACCACAGTTCAGAAAAGTGAATATCACGTTCTCTTTCATATATACATAATAGTTCCTAATTTGTCTGAATGGAAAAGTGTGTGTGTGTGTTTATGTGAAAGTGGATAAAGTCAGCGACCTAGAAAGAGGCTCATTAGAATTGGTCTACATTCCACAGGTCTTAATATACTGGCGGTTTTTGTTACGTTTTACTTGGCTTTCATCTACTACTGTGGAGGCCCTACAAACAGTGATATCTGACCCATTACCATCATCATATTCAGTATTGGTAATGATACCTGTTCCTTCTCGACCCACCACACTTGAGAACTGTCTTCAGTGGCTACTTTTTTTTTATTTTTTTTATTAATTACACTTTATTCATTTTGTATTCCCCCATAAGCCCCTCCCTCCTCCCCTCCCGATCCCACCCTCCCTCCCCTTTCTGCATGCATGCCACGCCCCAAGTCCACTGATAGGGGAGGTTCTCCTCTTCTTTCTGATCTTAGTCTATCAGTTCTCATCAAAAGTGGCTGCATTGTCCTCTACTGTGGCCTGATAAGGCTGCTCCCCCCTCAGGGGGAAGCAGTGTTAAGGAGACCAATGTCTTTGCCACCAAATTGAGTTCATTGAGTTTCTGAAGGAGTATTCTCTCCTAGGATTTATTTTTTATTTATTATTATTTGTGTGTGTGTGTGCGCGCGTGGCAGAACGTTTATTGGGGGAGGGGGCATCAGTCCTTCTTGGCTGCCACATTCCTCATAGCTGCCAGCACGTTGCTTAGCTCCTCCCGCTTCCTCTTGGCGCAGATGTGCATGCCCACCCTCTTCTTGATGAACTTGAGCGTGCACTTGTGCTTAGACACCTTGAGCAGCTCCATGGTGCGCCGCTCATACGGGTGAAGCTCCCTGATCATGTCTAGCACAAACTTGGTGTGCTTGGTGAGGCGCCCACAGGGCCGCTGTACCTCAGCTTTCTTTGTCACCTTGTGGCCCTTGTTGAGGCTCAAGGCCACGGGGTAGCACAGGGCCATGGCTGCTGCTCTCCGATGGCGGCCGAGACAGAAACTCTCCTAGGATTTATTAATTAAGGTGTCAAAGTACTGTATCTAAGTTGATGAAATATAACAACTTGAATGCCTCAATCAAATAACACTGGAATTTGGTTTGGAGATTTCTGTTCTCCCAGCATGAGATACTGCAAGAGACAAAGCCTGACCTGTCAGCTGTATCCACATGCCCTCAGTTCCACAGATCTGAACTAAATAAGTAAGGACTCCAGGCAACATGTTTAATTCTATAGAAAATTTAAGAGAGGAAGCTAGAAAATATTTGCTTTCACAAACATATTAGCAATTTGTTTAGAAAGGCTGGAACCAGAAAAATTCTTATTCTACTTACATGGAATTTTTATGTATTTTAAATTTTTCTCTATTTTGGAGAGTCTTCAGATCATGGTAAAAAGGGGGCTATCCCACAGGGACATGAGTCTAATGGGATATATGACTCTCATTGATTAACTGTGAACCTTTATTATTTTATTATTATTGTTTTAAACAAGTATCTAACGTTAGCATAAAGATAGCAGGAGAAAGTACCTTCAGGTATTTAAGCCCCAAATAGAAGAGCAAAGAAACAGAAGAATTAATTCCACAGTTTTAGTCTAAAGAAGAGGCATGATGTACCAGTAGGAGTGACTAGAATCACAATGTGAGGTCCTTCCCAGATGGTTTCTTCCTAGGGAGAGAAGAAATTTAAGCACCATTCAACTTTTAGGTTAAAACAAGGTTCTGCATGTCTTTCAAGGTTGTAGAAGGTACAAAAAAAAAGTGCTAGCCACTTTTTATATCAACTTGACACAAGTTAAGGTCATCTTGGAATGAGAAATCATAATTGAAAGCATGTCCCTACCGAATTAGCCTATATGGAAACCTATGGTGCATTTTCTTGATTAAGTATTGATATGGATGGTGCGAGCCTATAATTAGTACTGCTACCCCTAAGCAGGTAGTTTCTAGACATATAAGAAAGCAGAATGAGCAAGCATTGAGGAGAAAGCCTGTAAGCAATAATCTTAGTGGTGTCTGCTTCAGTTTTGACTTGAAGTTCCTATCTTGAAGAAAATTTTGATTATGGACTGTAATTTGGAAGTGGAAGTGAAATAACTATTTTTCTTTATTAATTACACTTTATTCACTTTGTATCCCCCTGTGGTTCTCTCCCTCCTCCTCTCCCAATCCCTCCCTTCCTACACCTCTGCATACATGCCCCTCCCCAAGTCCACTGATAGGGGAGGACTTCTTTTCCTTCCTTCTGATCCTAGTCAATTAGGTCTCATCAGGAGTGGCTGCATTGTCTTCTTCTGTGGCCTGGTAATGCTGCTTCTCCCTCAGGGGGAGGTAATTAAAATGCAGGCCAATCAGTTCATGTCAGAGACAGTCCTTGTTCTTATTACACTTGGATACTGAACTTCCATAGGCTACATCTGTGCAGTGGTCTTAGGTTATCTCCACGCATAGTCCTTGGTTGGAATAGCAGTCTCAGGAATGACCCCTGTGCTCAGATTTTTTGGTTCTGTTGCTCTCCTTATGGAGTTCCTATCCTTTCCAGATCTTACTGTTTCCCACTTCTTTCATAAGATTCCCTGAACTCTTCCCAAAGGTTGCCCATAAGTCTCAGCATCTACATTGATAGTCTGCAGGGCAGAGCTTTTCAGAGGTCCTCTGTGTCAGGTTCCTGACTTGTTCCCTCTTTTCTCCTTCTTCTGATGTCCAGCCTCTTTGCCTTTCTGGATAGGAATTGATCATTTTAGCAAGAGTCCTCCCTCTTGATTATTTTCTTTAGATGTACAGATTTTAGTAGGTTTATCCTATATTATAGGTCTATATGAGTGAGTATATACCGTGTGCATCTTTCTACTCCTGGGATAGCTCACTCAGGATGATCTTTTCCAGATCCCACATTTACCTGCAAATTTCAAGATCAAAAACTCAAGAGACAACACATGCTGGAGAGGAAGTGGAGAAAGGGGAACCCTCCTCCACTGCTGGTGGGAATGTAAACTTTTACAACCACTCTGGAAAGCAATCTGGCGCTTTCTCAGACAACTAGGAATAGTGCTTCCTCAATATCCTGCTATACCACTCCTAGGCATATATCCAAAAGATTCTCAAGTACACAATAAGGACATTTGCTCAACCATGTTTGTAGCAGCCTTATTTGTAATAGCCAGAAGCTGGAAACAGCCCAGATGCCCCTCAGTGGAGGAATGCATGCACAAATTGTGGTATATCTACACAATGGAATATTACTCAGCAATAAAAAAAAAAGGAAATCGTGAAATAACTTTTTATCTCCCCATTTGGAAGGAGCACAGTCATGGTATTTTTATGATTTCAACAGAAAACCTAACTATGATATAAGTTGTTTGCATGTTATGGGATGTTGCTATGATAGACCTGTCCATGTTGTTTGAGGGAAAATTGTGACTTTGAAGACTTTGAAAGTACAGGCTACATTAGCCAATGAATATTAATAAGCTGTTATAAGAACTTGGAACAAAATTCTTTGAGCAGAGCAGACAGAGGAGGGCTTGGGACACTTGATTTGGAGCTAAGGCACTTGATGCTTGCTGAAGACCTATCTATCTATCTATCTATCTATCTATCTATCTATCTATCTATCTATTATCTATCTATCTATCTATCTCTCCTAATTTTAGCTTAAAAATGCTATTTTCCCTCTTAAGATTTAATAAATTGTAGAAACAATCTAAAGCAGTTTATTAGGAGACACTAAACACACACAAAAAAATAATGCCTTCTTTTTCAGAGTCCAGAAATTTATAATACTTGGATGACAAAAAATAAACACACACACAAAAACAACTTTAACTTTTTTTTTAAATCTTTTATTTTTTTATTAATTACACTTTATTCATTTTGTATCCCCCCATGAGCCCCTCCCTCCTCCCCTGCCGATCCCACCCTCCCTCCCCTTTCTGCATGCATGCCACTCCCCAAGTCCACTGATAGGGGAGGTCCTCCTCTCCTTCTTTCTGATCTTAGTCTATCAGATCACATCAAAAGTGGCTGCATTGTCCTCTACTGTGGCCTGGTAAGGCTGCTCCCCCCTCAGGGGGAAGTGATCAACGAGCAGGCCAATCAGATTATGTCAGAGGCAGTCCCTCTTCCCATTACTATGGAACCCACTTGGACACTGAATTGCCATGGGCTACACCTGTGCAGGGGTTCCAGGTCATCTCCACAAATAGTCCTTGGTTGGAGTATGAGTCTCTGTGAAGTTCCCTGTGTTCAAATTATCTTGTTCTGTTGCTCTGCTTGTGGAGATCCCGTTCCCTCCAGTTCTTACTATTTCCCACTTCTTACATAAAATTCCATTCACTCTGCCCATCAGTTGGCCATCAGGCTCAGCATCTGCTTTGACAGTCTATACTGCAGAAACTTTCAGAGGCTCTCTGTGGCAGGTTTCAAGGTTGTTTCCTGTTTTCTTCTGGCTTTCAGAGGCCCTCTGTAGCGGGTTCCGAGGTTGTTTCCTATTTTCGTTTTCTTCTGATGTACATCCTCTTTGCCTTTCAGGATGGGGATTGAACATTTTAGTTAGGGTCCTCTCTTTTGCTTAGTTTGTTTAGATGTACAGCTTTTAGTGGGTTTATTCTATATTGTATGTTTATATGAGTGAGTATATACCGTGAGTGTCTTTTTGCTTCTGGGTCAACTCACTCAGGATGATCCTTTCCAGGTCCCACCATTTACCTGCAAATTTCATGATTTCCTTATTTTTCATTGCTGAGTAATACTCCATTGTATAGATGTACCACAGTTTCTGCATCCATTCTTCAGTTGAGGGGCATCTGGGTTGTTTCCATCTTCTGGCTATTACAAATAAAGCTGCTACAAACATGGTTGAACAAATGTCCTTGTTGTGTACTTGCGCCTCTTTTGGATATATGCCTAGGAGTGGTATGGCTGGATCTTGAGGAAGCACTATTCCTCATTGTCTGAGAAAGCGCCAGATTGATTTCCAGAGTGGTTGTACCAGTTTACATTCCCACCAGCAGTGGAGAAGGGTACCCCTTTCTCCACAACCTCTCCAGCATGTGTTGTCCCTTGAGATTTTCATCTTGGCCATTCTGATGGGTGTAAGGTGAAATCTCAGGGTTGTTTTGATTTGCATTTCCCTAATGGCTAATGAGGTTGAGCATTTCTTTAAGTGCTTCTCTGCCATTCGATATTCCTCTGCAGAGAATTCTCTCTTTAGCTCTGTTCACCATTTTTTAAGTGGATTACTTGGTTTGTTGCTTTTCAGCTTGTTTAGTTCTTTATATATATTGGATATGAGTCCTCTGTCAGATAGAGGGTTGGTGATGACTCTTTCCCAATCTGTAGGCAGTCGCTTTGTTTTGATGACGGTGTCCTTTGCTTTACAGAAGCTTTTCAATTTTATGAGGTCCCATTTATTGATTGTTGCTCTTAGAGCCTGTGCTGTTGGTATTCTGTTCAGGAAGTTTTCTCCTGTACCAATGAGTTCTAGGGTATTCCCCACTTTTTTTTCTAGCCGATTTAATGTGTCTGGTTTTATGTTGAGGTCTTTGATCCACTTGGACTTCAGTTTTGTGCAGGGTGATAAGTATGGATCTATTTGCATTTTTCTACATGTAGACATCCAGTTGGACCAGCACCATTTGTTAAAGATGCTATCTTTTTTCCATTGTATGGTTTTGGCATCTTTGTCAAAAATCAGGTGTCCGTAAGTGTGTGGGTTTATTTCTGGGTCTTCTGTTCGATTCCATTGATCCACCATTCTGTTTCTATGCCAGTACCATGCAGTTTTTATAACTGTTGCTCTATAGTACAGCTTGAGATCAGGGATGGAGATACCTCCAGAAGATCTTTTATTGTAGAGGATTGTTTTAGCAATTCTCGGTTTCTTGTTATTCCATACGAAGTTGAGAATTTTTCTTTCCAGGTCTGTAAAGAATTGTGTTGGCAATTTGATGGGAATTGCATTAAAT